AAGAGGTGATGGATTATTATGAATGTATCGAGTGGGTAGGCACACGTGATTGGAGCACTGGCAAAGTCGGTTTATGTGGTATCTCGTATTACGCCATTAACCAATGGCAAGTAGCCGCTCTAAAACCGCCGCATCTTGCCGCAATAATACCTTGGGAAGGCGCCAGTGACTTTTATCGCGAGGTCTATCGACATGGTGGCATCTTAAGCAACTACTTTATTAACTTTTTGTATAATGGCGTTGTGCTTGTCAATCAGCACGGTAAAGGCACGTATATGGATCACTGGTTGGGTGAATCTTCGAGTGGACCAGAGAAGTTATCTGAGGAAGAGCTTGCCAGAAATAGAGTAGAACCTCTCGAAGGACCCAGAAGCGAGCACACCAGCGATGGAGAACATTATACGAGTAGACAAGCTGATTTTAGCAAAATCAATGTTCCGCTACTATCATGTGCATCTTGGGCTGGATTTGGTCTACACCAACGCGGTAATTTTGAAGGATTCTTGCAATCAGCTAGTGAACAAAAGTGGTTGGAAGTCCATCCTGGAAAACACGAGGAATGGTTCTACCTGCCTTATGGATATCAACTTCAGAAACGCTTCTTTGATCACTTCTTGAAGGGCGAAGAAAATGGAATGGATCATGAACCTAGAGTGTTGCTCAACATAAGGTACCTGGATGAGAAGTTTGTCTTGCGCAAAGAAAATGAGTGGCCACTTAAGAGAACGCAGTGGACCAAGTTTTATCTTGACGCTGGCAATATGTCCTTGAGTACTTATTCTCCACTTTCTGTGGCAGATTGTAGTTTCTCTGCACTGACTGGTAAGAGTGCAGTATTCAATTCGTCTGCACTTGAAGAAGAGTGTGAGATCACCGGTCCTATAGCGGCGCGTATTCGAGTGGCATCTAATACCAAAGATGCCGACTTGTTCTTAACTTTGCGAGCATTCGATCCAAACGGAAAAGAAATCACATTCCAAGGTACCGTAGATCCTCGATCTGTTCTGTCTCAAGGCTGTCTACGAGCTTCTCATCGTGCTTTGGACCATGAGAAGACATTACCCTACAGGCCATACCATTCACATCTGAAGCAAGAGTTCTTGAACCCTGGACAGCAATATGATCTGGATATTGAGATGTGGCCTACGTGCATCGTTTTACCCGAAGGATCGACTATACAGCTGATGATCGATGGAAAGGATTTCTCCAGAGAAGAGAATGAAGTCATTGTGAAAGGACCGATGAGATTCGCTGGAAGTGGATGTTTTCTGCACGACGATCCAGTAGATCGTGATGAAAAGATATACGGTGGAGAGACCAAGGTGATCACTAGTGAAGACTCGTGGCTTCTTCTTCCCATCGTGCCGAAAGAATAACTACACTCAATCTTCATATCAAAAATGTTTTCGCTGACTCCTTGTACTAACTAGACTTTTTTCCTATTCTTGTGTGCCTACTTATTTTCGCTTTCTATGCTTTCCATTCTGTTTTGATTCGTGTCGCACATCAGTAGAAGCACTGGTTGATTTTTTCTTCATTTTATAGTTTATCTCTACTTCTTTGTTCTTCATTTTTGACACATTATTCGTTTTTCTCCATCTTCATTTGTTCTTACTCTTCTATCTCAAATTCTACACGTATCACCTTTCATCTTCACTCTTTTCTCAATAAAAATCATTGAAATCATCTCGTCTGTTTGATCACCGATACTTACAGGGTGAGTACGGGATGGAGTAGGTTGGATGTGGGTGTGCGTATGCGTGTGGGTGTAGTTCTTCTCTTCATCCATAAACCCACACCCACACCCCAAGGAATAGATTACTAACAGCGATTACATAGTCATCCTTAAACGAAGTAAAAACCATAATATGGCTTCGCATCATGTTAAAAGAGTTAGCGTTCGTGGGTAAACACCGAATTGGTTTTCATTACATTCTTTACTCATCCGGAGTGCGTGTGGGAGGGTGTGGGTGTAAGAGTGTGGGTGCAAGTGTGGGTGTGAGATAAGATATCTACACCTACATCCGCACCTACACCCATACCCTGATTATCATATATTTTGTTACATTTGTTACATTGTCATAAAAATGTTGACAGAACACGTTTTTTTGTTCAATTGGTGAGTATGTTACGGTGATGTCGCACGTTAATATATTCACTATGTTCCTATTATCCTCTATTTTATTTTATCTATTTTCGTCTCTAATTAGTTTCATTCCTTTTCGTTCTTATATACATGCTATGTATGCTACGTTTGTTTTGTGGAACTCACAAATATTTTCGAAGAATAATAGTGAGTGTAAGTTTTAAGTTCGAGGTTTCGTGGCTCCCCCCTCTCCCCTTACAGACAGGCTCCCATTACAGACCATAGCAACGAAAGAGAACATTACAGACATATACGCCCCCCCCCCCCCCCCACCATTACAGACCATAGCAACGTAGGCTACCATTACAGACCTTGGCAACTTCGTGAAAATAAAAATTTCTGTTCGAAATTTACAGATAAAAATATAGCATTTTCTAATAATCCATTATCTTTAGAAAAGAACTATTATCTTTTGGAGATTTTAAATATTGGGTATTTTGCCATTAGTATCATGAAACCGAAGGAGATATGTGAGTTCCACATTTCAGCCCCAAAGGGGCTGCGCTAACAAGCTTTTTTCTTTCCATTTATAATAAAGATCGTGCATAAACACCAGCACATATATCATCTATATATATTATACTTACACAGAAAGAAAAGAGGAACGAATTGCTAATAGACTGCAATTTTCTTTTAAATTCTATTTTCTAGAAGATCGACTTTAAATAAGCTAAAGCATTTTCAAACTTTCATTATTCACTCATCAAATTTGAAATGTTCAGAAAATGCTTGATTTTCTCAATAACAGAAGTTCAATTTGATTTTCTAAAACAATAATTTTCAAACGAATTAGAAAATCAATATAAATTCTTGAAAAAGTCAAAAATGAAAGCAACTTTCTGAAAAAGAATTTGAACAATGACTGCCAATGTCGTAAATTTCTTCTCAATACCGCCGGTATACCACGGTAGTCGTAAGAACAGACGGTGTGCCGTCGACATACCGCCGCTAGCATCTTAATCTCCGGTGTCAGATCTAAATAATTTCAGAGAGCATTTTCTGCTCAAATTCGAATTTACTAATAAAAAGAATTCACAATTAACGGAAGAAAAAAATTTTACAATTTTTTTCACTAACAATAATTTTTACAGCGCCATCTATAATGAAGAATTGATCTCAGTACTGGGACCGATTTGGATTCTGTCGGTACTACAGATGGCTCAAACGCATAAACCTTATCTGAAGACACGGAATTGCACGAAATTTTAATGGTTTTATTAGACTTAAAAAATATTCAACGGTTTCAATGCACTATAGCAAGATACACTACTTTCATAAAAAACCGGCGATATACCGTCGATCTACCGGTGATTTTTTCTCGGTTCTACTCACATGGGTGTTATAGACTCATTATTCATTCATGTATATAAGCCAATTGATAGCGTTGTAGATTCATTATTTTCTTCGGCAGCTGTAATGAGTCGATAAATTATATTTTTTTCATTTGCCGCGTAAGTCAGTTCATATTTTATGAATTTAAATTATAATTATTCATTTATTTTATTCAGGGTATTTCTAGAAAATGAATTTTCATGAATTTATTCAAGTTACGATTAAAAGTCTTTATTTTATTTGATGCATTTATACGCATGAATGTTAGTGAGTTTATTTAATTAAGATTAAAGGACGAGTGGCAATAAGGCCTGTTTTCGGCCCCAAAAACTTTGAGCTAAGACACACATATTCGGAATCAGCATCAAATTCTAAGTGAAACAGCGTTTCAGAAATTTTCAAAATCGAAAAAAAAATTTTTTCGACAAATATTTTCGTCGAAGTGGGGTATGGGAAAGTCGAAAAAAGTTTTTTTTTTAATTCGACCAAAAGAATATCTACTTCTATACAATAGGCCATGCTAATTATAAATATCGCAATTAGAACTTCCAATAATGCTTCACTGTCAAATGACAGCCAAAAATAAAAACAATCGTAAACCCTATTTTTCTCAATTTTGGTCCCTTGGTTGATAGCTATGGGATCACTAATGAATTGAAAAAGTCTAATCATACGTAATTCACCATGCTCTATATGATTTCGAAAGAATTATATCGATCAAACGTAATATCAATCGATTAAACGCAGATCACCGCCCCGATTGCCCATGCTCAATTATTCTCAAACTTGTTGATGACCATAGGTATACTTAGAAGCGGCGAACAAAAAAGATATTTTTACTGGAGATACATTAAGTGATCCTCATTCTAATGGTATATTTCTTTCGTCGATTTTTCGTGAAGAAAGTTTCCATCCGACAACATCAATATGTAGTATCTATGTTTAGAGTTTGTTTAAAAAAATCATTATTGCTACGAGTTTTCTATGAAAGAAGTAACTTTTTTAGAGAGAGGCAAATTCACTCTTTGCCTTCCTTAGTCATATCATGTGCAAAGAGCAGAATATTGCATTGCTTTTTATATCTTTTGATGCATATATGTATATGTAGCAGTGTTCGTTAAAAAGAAGAATCAGAAAAAGTTTGAGATACAACGTCTTTTAAGATATATGTGAAGAAAAATGAAAAAAAAAAGTGTTTGGAATGAATAATTGTATTTACTTGATGGTAGAAGGAAAAAAAAGAGAAGAAAAATGTGTATTGTGGTTGATATCGTATTCTTTCAGTATGTTAACTGTCTGTGTAGAGTGAGAGCTAAAATGTACACTACTGACAATAAAATTAAGTGTAAACGGTGTGACCATACTTTTCGATTTAATGAAACGATAAGACCTTTACAAGAGATCAAAACAATTGTGTGAATTCGTATTTTCAAGTGGACTTATTGATGTCAACAAGTTGATAGACGTTTCACGGTTGGATGTTCCTTTATGCAACGCATGCTATCAGTCTTATAGTCGGCAAATGCGAGCACTGTCTGTTAACACAACAGAAGAGTCAATGGAAGCAGATTTTGGAGACACGTCGAAAAATTTTGCGAATAAGTCATCGCAAACGGAAGATTTCAATTTGACATTCCTCACTCGCTCTGATTCAATTAATATGATCGTTGATTCTCCAGCTACTACTACCGCAACAGCCTCTGATACTGCATCGACTAAAGGTTTGGCATCGTCTTTAGTAAGTTCTCACATTTCTGTACCATTTTATCATCTATCTAAATCACACTCTCGCTGTCCAATATGTAATGTTGATTTTTCCTCTAACTTTCGAGCATCGGTTTTTACCAATGATGTTCGAGCTCGAGAGTTCTTGGAGGACGATATTTTAATTTCATTTGGTTCGCGATGCTGTGAAAAGCATATTAATGCCGGTTATTTGAATGCTGCAGCTTTACAACGCATTCGAAATAAAGAAAACAAGTGTTATCTTGGCGTAGAAGAGTTAGCAGACATGTTGGCTATCGTAAAAAATGCATTTCTACTAAAAGTCTCGACCATAGACGACTTTAGGAATGCTCCATTATTGAACTTCGATGATTTAACACGAATCACATCTGATAATTATTATGTTCTTACAGGACTAAGCCGTACCGACTTCGACAATCTCTGCTCACGCATTCCATCTTCTGCATTGAGAAACACTCACAATCGATCAGCACGAACTGCAATCGCTTGCTTATTAATGAAGCTAAGGTTAGGCATCAGTCATCAAGTTTTAGCAACTCTGTTTTCATTTAAAGACAAACGTGCTGTATCTCGTATGTTTCATAGTGTGCGTAAAGCTCTTGTTGAGCACTTTGTGCCACATTTTCTGGGATTCGAACATATAAAACGAAGAGATGTAATCGATCTGCACACACGTCCATTAGCGACTGAATTATTATCTGATCAACCTGATCGTGCTATATTAATACTGGATGGTACATATATCTATTTTCAAAAGAGTGCCAATAACGTTTTGCAAAGACGAACATATAGTATGCACAAAGGAAAGCCTTTGATTAAGCCGATGTTAATTACTACAACGACGGGCTACATTGTGTCATGTATGGGACCGTACTTTGCTGACTATAAAAATAATGATGCTGAGATAACGAAGCATATTATATATAAAAACAAACAAAATATCGTAAAG